AGTGGCTTGGGTTGGACCAGGATGAAGCTGGGAGCCATTGGCTTCTTCCAGGGCTTCCAAGAGGGTGCAGGGACTCAAGAACGTGAGCCATCTTCTGATGCTTTCCCAGACTCATTAGCAGGGAGCCAAATGAGAAGCGGAGCAGCTGGGACTCATCTGGGAGCTGGCATTATAAGGGGGCTTACCCTGCTGAGCCACGGTGCTGGCTGGGAAACGTGTTAGAAAAAAAGGGTGACAGAAAGCCTAGAGCCAGAGCACCAGCAATTTTAGTTTCACTTTCACATAACCTCTGCCTCTGTGTGAATTTTCCCAGGTAATGCCATGCTGATGTCTCCTACATAGAAGGAATTTGAGTTGGCAAATACAGAATAAGCTGGCATAGTCTCCCAAAAATGTGGAAGACAAGGAATCTGACAGAAAAATAAATATTCAGCCAAGCATGAAATGATTCAAGGAAAACACAATACATCTACCCTTATTGCCCTCTTTGTTTATTTTTGGATTTAAAAAGCTATATTTAATTCTTTCATTCAAACTGTTTGGCAAAAAAAATCCAATGATTAAATGAAAACATATATATATGAAAGAGAGAGAGAGTGAGAGAGAGAGAGAGCCAGCCATAAAGGAGGTTGACCTAAAAAGTCTAAAAAGTTGATTCTCTTCTATTGCTTCAGCCACCATATCAGATGATGTGGTTTGTCTTCCAAATGTTCTTTTGTTCCAGCCTCACTATCTACATAGTATCAGAATGATCACTAACTAACTACCACGCCACAAAAAAAACATTTTTTTATTACATTAGTGATACTATCTCAGTAATAATGCAGCCCGGTAAAAATATGTGTGTGTTTGTGCCTAATTTGGAGAAATCACTTTTTAAGATACATTCTTTAAATTGCAAGCAAATTAATTTTCTTTTTTTTTTTTTTTTTTTTTTTTTTTTTTTTTTTTTTTTTTTTTTTGACAGGCAGAGTTAGACAGTGAGAAAGAGAGACAGAGAGAAAGGTCTTCCTTTTCCTTTGGTTCACCTCCCCAATGGCCGCTACGGCTGGCGTGCTGCACTGATCTGAAGCCAGGAGCCAGGTGCCTCCTCCTGGTCTCCTATGTGGGCGCAGGGCCCAAGCACCTGGGCCATCCTCCACTGAACTCCCGGGCCACAGCAGAGAGCTGGACTGGAAGAGGGACAACCGGGACAGAATCCGGCGCTCCAACTTGGATTAGAATCCGGGGTGCCGGCGCCACAGGAGGAGGATTAGCCTAGTGAGCCGCTGTGCTGGCCTGAATTTTCTAATTTAGAAAGTTAATAGAACTTTACAAATCCTAAATCACTTTAATCTCCCTTATTTCATATATTTGTGTGTTATCACGGTCATGTTATTCTCATGTATAGCCTACCCAGTATTCGCTTATGCTGTAATGTTGGAGTTAGCTTACATAGTTCCTGATTTGGGAGGGTGTGAGTAGTTTAAATGAAGAGGCCCTTACACATGCTTCTCCAGTGGGTGTCTTCACTCAGATCTGCCTTTGTATACACACGTAACAACTGAACGAATAGCACTGGGACCAGAAAATATATATAGCCTTTGTGACATTAACCCAGGTTGTGGCCAGCAAAACTATAGGACTATACATCCCCTGAACCTAGCCTTCAGTGATTTTTGAAGCTATGTTCTTTTGCTAGGTTAATTGGCATGTGAAAATACTGGATGTTCACATGGTTCTCAATGATTTTACTATTGATGAGACAGTTTATCGTTCACTGGGCTCCTTCACTGCTTTATTCTCTCTTTTTTTATTTACTTATTTATTTGAAAGGCAGAGTTACAAAGAGAGAGAGAGGCAAAGGCAGAGAGAGGTCCTCCATCTGCTGGCTCACTCCCCAGATGGCTGCAACTGGTGGGGCTGGGTTGATCTGAAGCCAGGAGCCAGGAGCTTCTTCCGGGTCTCCCATGCAGCTGCAGGGACCTGATGACTTGGGCCATCTAATCTTGCTTTCCCAGGCCATAGCAGAGAGCTGGATTAGAAGTGGAGCAGCCAGGACTCGAACCAGCACTCACATGGGATGTTAGCGACTTTACCGGCTATGCCACTGCACCAACCTCTGCTTTATTCTTATGATGGAAATCTATGGGCCGCAGTTGTGCAACAAGTGCTGTGCCAAGATCACAGGATACCATCAGTACCCCCATGGGTACAATGAGGGGATGAAAGCAGCAAAAGAAAACCACAGACAAAAATCAGTGCTGTCCATACCATTGAATACTCTATAGGAATAAGATGGAACAAACCATTGTAACTTTAACAGCATTAAAGAACTTCAAAAGCACGAGGCTAAGTGAAGAAAGTAGACTCCAAAGTCAATAACTGTATGACTCCATGTATATGACATTTTGGAAAAGGCAAAGCTAAATTAACAGAAAGCACGTCAGTGGTTGCCAGGAACTGGCAGAGGGGAAGAATTCTGACTAGGAAGGGCTGGTGTTAGAAGCATTCTTTATCTTTATGCTATGTTGTCAAAATGCATAGATGTATATACCTCTAGAAAGGATCGATTTTATTAAATCTAATTGCTTTCTCAACACACCTGACTTTAAAGAGGATCGATTTTATTAAATCTAATTGCTTTCTCAACACACCTGACTTTAAAGAGTAAAAGTAAGGCCAGGTATTTAGCCCAGCAATTAAAACGCCCGTGTCTCACATCAGAGTGCCTAGGCTGAGTCCTCACCTCCAGCTCCGGATTCCAGCCCTGACTCCGGATTCTAGCTTCCTGCTAATGCAGACCCTCAGTGATGGTGGTGATGGCTCAAGCAATTGAGTTTTAGCCAACTTCCTACAAGATCTAGTTTGAATTTCTGGCTCCCAGCTTTGGCCTTGTCCCAACACTGATTGGCAGATATTTAGGGAAAGAAGCAGTGGAGAGGATCTCTTTTTGTGTGTATCTATTAATCTCTGTATTTGTGTTTCTTCACCTGTCAAATAAATAAATACTTTTAAGTGATAAGTGTAACAATTGAGGCTATTTGTTCATGGAAGTGCTACAGTCAAGCCACTGGAATTTGTATTTCTTTCACACCTCTTATTCACTGTCTGACCATACACAGTTAACCCTTCTGTACCTCAATTTTCTGATCTTTAAAATGAATGTAACAGTGCCTTCTTCATGACACTCTTAGGGCAGATAATCAGTGCAATGTGTCTGGTATATCATAGCTCAATAGGATTCATTTCCTTTTGTTCCAGTGCTACAGTGAAGCAGTATACAATATACAATGGAAAGTTGGCAAATGGCCAAAAGAACAATGAAAAAAGAAAGAATACAAATGTCCATGAATCATAGAAAGAGAATTTTGACCTATCTAAAAACAGAGGAAGAAGTATTAAATATAAACAGCACTTTTGTTTATACAATAAGCAGAATTTTCCTTCTTTCTCTTTTTTGCTTTCTTTCTCTTTTTTCTTCCTTACTTCCTTTCTTTCTCTGTCTGCCTTTCTTTCCTTTTTTCTTTCTTTTCATTCTTCCCTTTTGACGAATGAGAAGCACAGTGGAGACAGATCTAATCTAAACAAGCATCTAAACAAGCACTGTGATCATTGTCTGTTACTGGTAGACACGGAAATAGACCAACGTTTTAAAAGTGAACTTGGTGCAGGTACCAAGGGCAAGAAAGTATTACAATTACGGTCATTTAACTTTTCAAAATTTGTCCAAAAATGTGTTAGAAAAGCTTCAAAGAATTTATGTCTGAGGACAATCCTCATGATACATAAAGAGATAAAAAATTGGCAACTCCCCAAACACTAGGGGAAGGTTAAACAAATTTTGATATGCATGCATACTGGTATGCAACTCTGTGTGTGTTTGGTGTGTGTGTGTGTTTATGTGTGTTTGTGTGTGTGTGTGTTTTGAAATTAATAAATGGACATTGGATGGTAGACAACCAAAACAAAAACTTTTTGGAAGGGTCAGGATCTACCTACTGAAAAAATAATAGACATTTCTCAGGTGGTAAAATGGGGTCTTACACTCCAAGCAGAGGAATGCTATGCTCAGGGAGGCCAAGAGACTAAGGACACCTATGGTGGCCTCCAAAAGCCATAAATCTCAGCATGCTTCGAGTTTCCAAGAAGAAGTGATAAGACACAAAGAAAACACTAGCCAGCACCAGGCTGTAAAAGATTCTATACATCATATTCATAAGTCTGGGCTCTTTTTTAAGGAAAAAGATTTATTTGTTGATTTGAAAGACCTATAGAGAGAGAGATGGAGGGGAAGGAGAGAGATCTTCATCCACTGGTTCACTCCCCAAATGGCCTCAAGGCCAGGGATGGTCTAGGCCAAAACCAGGAGCCAGGAGTTTCGTTGGGATCTCCCACATGGGTGGCAGGGGCTCCAACCTATGGGCCAGCTTCTGCTGCCTTCTCACAGGCCTTTAACAAGAAGCTGGGCCAGAAATGGAGCAGCAGGACTCCAATGGGCACCAATATGAGATCCCAGCCTCTCTGACAAGTGGTTTTACCTGCTAAGCAACAACACCACCCCCTAGACTCTTGGATGTAATAACAACCCATTAAAGCTTTTTTTAAGACAAGGCTTCACATATTGTTTTACTTTAGAAAGATACTTTCAGCAGGTAGGACCATTCCTCTTTCCTTTTACGGGCATGTACCCAATGTGATTAGATATAGAAAGATTAGTTTAAAAACTTAATAGTTTTGGGATCTCTCCCAAGGTCAGTACCCTAAGTAGGTGGATATGCGCACAACGAGATGCCAGTGATGTAAAACATCCCATTTCAGATTCACAGATGTTTGTAGAATGCATTATTTTCGTATAAAGGTAACTGTATTATTGCCCACGTCTTAGATGACTTTTTCCCAAAGGTGTGTTTCCCCAGCTTTGATCTGCCATCCCAGCCTTCTGGGCTATCATGTCCCACCTGCAGAAAGTACTTTTGCCTCTGGTATTTTTGATATTTTTCTTTTTGAATTCTTGATAGATTAATCAGCTAGAACCTGTGCCAGGTGGGACTACAAGCAAGCAATCGGGTTCAGGTGAGCCTTTCCCCTCTATTTTTCAATCTCTGAATCATCATTTTGTAGAATGGCAGTCACTACTTCCAAACAGTAATCAAGGCTTGGGGTGGCTACACCCTGGGCAAAAGACAGTCTCCTTGGCCAAACTTTTATCAGAAGGCGTTGCAGAAACTCATTAAGTCACTTGAGTCAAAGATCCGGGTGAATCATTCTAAACCTCCACCCAGTTCAACTTTTCCCTCTGGTGGCAATTAATTATATTTTACCTTTTCCCACTCCTACCTCCACCAACACACAATCACATGTTCCACGAGGACACACACTCAGAGTTTCAAGCTCATACAAGGTTCATTTGCTTGGTATTCACAGAAAGGAGATAAGAAAGAAAATGTCTATAACTTTTCTTTTGAGCTGACAGTAGGAGGGAAAACCCAGCACCTAGTCCTCAAAGTCAGGCAGTGTGGTTTTAAACTGCATATGCTGACTCCACATGTTATCTGCTTCAGAAGAAGAATGGAAGTCCATGGCCAGCGCTGCGGCTCACTAGGCCAATCCTCTGCCTGCGGTGCCAGCACCCCAGGTTCTAGTCCCGGTCAGGGCGCCGGATTCTGTCCCGGTGCTCCTCTTCCAGTCCAGCTCTCTGCTGTGGCCCGGGAGTCCAGTGGAGGATGGCCCAAGTGCTTGGGCCCTGCACCCACATGAGAGACCAGGGGAAGCACCTGGCTCCTGGCTCTGGATCAGCGTGGTGCGCCGGCCGAAGCGGCCATTGGGGGTGGGGGTGGTGGTGAACCAACGGAAAAGGAAGACCTGTCTCTCTGTCTCTCTCTCTCACTGTCCACTCTGCCTGTCCAAAAAAAAAAAAAAAAAAAGAATGGAAGGTGAGTGTTGTACATGAAATTGTTCAAGTAATAGTATGCTACCTTATTAGTTATTCAAATAATTTACCTAGCTTGCATTATTAGATGCAGTAGGAGTATAGAATCTGAGAATGGATGCAGTCCTCATAACAGGTGCAAGGGCTCTGCAGTTAATGAGACTGGGTTGGAATACCTGCCCCTCTGGCACAGCTATGCATGCACAAGTTTGCCTGTCTCACAGAGCCATGATTCCATCTATTGGGATAGCATCTATCTTCAAGGACTGCTCTGGGATTTACTGTAATAATATATTCAGTGCCAAGCAAGTTATTTCCTTGGGAAGTAATAATTGGCAACAATAATAAACAGCCCAGTAACACTTCTCATTCCAAAAACTGTATCAGAATTAACTATCTTAGTTAACCCTCTCAACAAGCTTATGAAAAAATACAATGAAGAGACTTAGAGTCAGGGTAACTGAGACACAGAAAGGTGAGTTTACTAATTTAAGATCAGAAAGATATGAATTGAAAAAACTGAATCTAAAACCCAAATTCATGTATTAACCCACAATACCTTTGGATACAATCCCCTTTCTTCTTAAAAATTAAGGAGAGTCAAATTGACAATCTCCAAAATTCAAAGTCATATTGAAGGTTTGTAATTGAATCAGAAGCCAGGACCTGTAAAACTAAGTCTGAAGATTCCACTCAAGTGCCATTTCCCTGAAAACAAAACAAAGATAAACAAAATGAAAGGTAGAATAATGCACCTAATAAATACATGTGGTAGATTTTTGTAATAATGAACTCAAATATTTCACTACGACTTTGTGATCCTGAGTTATCTATTGCAGTGATTAGTTTATAATAGACAATTTTGAAATAGTCATAACAGGTCCTGTTATGGTTTGAATATGAGTTGGCTCCCAAATTCATGAAGATTTGAAACCAGAAAGTCATAAATTAGTGACATTTAGAGGGTGAAAACTTAATCCAACTAGGTAGACAGGAGTGGGGAACATCCAGCCCGTGGACCATATAAGACCATATAAGTTCTGGCCCTGCCAAGGCAACTGTAGGTGGGACGCAAAATTCAATAAATCTATAGCAGGCTAATTTTTAATTTAATAATTTTGTATGGTCCATGCATGATGCTATAAATATTCAAATGGCCCTCTGCAGATAAAAGGTTCACTCTTGTGTATGGAGATGAGACTTTTGTAAAGCAGATAGGGTGGAGTTCCCATGATTGAATCCTCATGGCTTTATAAGGAGAGGGAAAGAGGGAGAGGGAGAGATGTGCTCCTGCCATGATGTGATGACGTCCAAGGCAGCCTCACCAAAGCCTCTTATGATGAATAGACTCTGAACCTCCAGAATTGTGAGCCAAAACAAATGTCTTTTCTTTATAGAGTAGACCACCTCAGGTATTTTGTTATAGTAACCAAAAGCTAACAAGTGCAGATTCTTACCCTGCTTAAGGGTCAGACCCATAACACTCTGAAATATCCTGTCCCCAGGTCTCTAAGGAGGAGGAAATCAACTCCCACTCTATTCATGCCGTGTTGACATTGTAATTGGAATTGGCCTCAGGAACACTCTCAGGGAAGCAACGCTGGATCTTGGTCCAACTCTCTCTACTCGTCCCCTCCACCTCTCTCACTCCTAGCTGCACCACCCCACTCCATCACACTGCGGAGATAATGGATCCCCGAAGGCAGAATGGCAGTCAATGGAATTGGCATGGCCTTGCTGATGACTGAGCCCTGTAAAGCCACCTCATGGAAACAGCTGCCTGTTCCACTTACTCATAAGGCAGCCCATTTCCTTCAGTCTTATTAATAGCTCTAAGGTAAGCCTTCTAAGCCTGCTAGCCTTTAGGGATCAAGAACACATTTACCAAGTCATGGTTCAATTTCCAAGTTAACAGGGTGTTTCCCACAACCACCCAAATAGTTACACTGGCCACAGGAGCTCAAAGCCAATAACAATATGGATAGCGCCAGCTGTATTTGAGGAGATGGGCACTGGACTTGTTATCTGTGCTTTGCCTTCTGATAAGGGAAGAGGCAATGTAGGTCAGGAAGAAACTCACCCACCTTAATTAAAATAATCAGCAATGTAGCTACAACGTGCAAACAAAAGCGATTAACACCTATGACAGGAAAAACTTAGCATCATAACGACAATAATAGCTGACATTTGTTGGGGTACTAACCATGTGTCCTAAACTCCTTGAATGAATTTTTTCAATTAATATCCTTCCTGCCTTCCTCTGAGGAGGTAGATTCTGTTATCACCATTTTACAGATTGGGAAAACTGAGGTGTGGAAAGATCAAACTTACCTAGCAAGTGAGGGAGACAGAATACAAACTCAGCAGTCTGATTTCTAAGACCTTATTCTTAACTATTTCATTATGAATCATCAAAAGCAGGACTTGCTAAAGTTTTTTCTATAAAGAGCCAGAGAGTAAATATTTAAGGCTTTGCCTGTCATGTATTTCCTATCACAACTATTCATGTTCCTCATTGTAGGCCGAAAGCAGTTATAGACAATAATCAAATTAGTAGTTTGCTGGTTCCAATAAAATATTATTAAGTGCACAAAAGTTTTAATTCCATACCATTTCACCTATTCACATGTATCTTTGGTTTTTGCCCCAACCATTTAAAAATATACAAGTATATGAAAATGACTGGCATACAAAGTAGGCCCATAGGCCATAATTTGCTGGTCTTTGTTCGAAAATATTGAGATAAATTTAAAAGAAAGACAGCTGGAGAAAAATATGAATCATGTGGTTTTTCTGCCATTTTCTCATTGTATTTATTTCTATCTGAAAATTATTATGCACCTTCCTCTTTCTGGCATCTGAAGTGACACAGTCCAACTCCAAAATATAGTTCATATCTCCATATTCAACAAGCTGCGTAGCTTCAGGCAATTTAATGAGTTTTAAGCCAGTGCTTCCTTGTTGTAATCAAGTAGTTATCTGACAGGTTGGTGGTTATAATCATTAAATTAAATAATACATGTTAAGCTCCCTGGCACATTGTAAAGTCTTAATAAATATTAACTTTAACTAGTTGTACTATTACTATTTTTTTTATGTGACAGGTAGAGATATAGACAGTGAGAGAGAGAGAGACAGAGAGAAAGGTCTTCCTTCCATTGGTCCACTCCCCAAATGGCCGCTACTGCTGGCGCTGTGCCGATCCAAAGCCAAGAGCCAGGTGCTTCTCCTGGTCTCCCACACAGGTGCGGGGGCCCAAGCACTTGGGCCATCCTCCACTGCCCTCCCAAGGCCATAGCAGAGAGCTGGACTGGAAGAGGAGCAACTGGGACTAGAACCTGGTGCCATATGGGATGCCAGCGCCACAGGCAGAGTATTAACCAAGTGAGTCATGGTGCCGGCCCCCACTATTACTATTTTTAATATTACTACTTTTTTACGTTTTTTTTTTAAAGTTTATTTATTTGAGAGGCAAAGTTGCAGAGAGAGGGAAAGAGAGAGAGATAGGTCCTCCATTTGCTGATTCACTCCCCAGATGGCCGCAATTACCAGAGCTGCACCGAGCCAAAGCCAGGAGCCAGAAGCTCCTTCCGAGTCTTCCACGAGAGTGCAGGGGCCCAAGAACTTGGGCCATCTTCTACTGCTTTCCCAGGCCATAGCAGAGAACTGGACCGGAAGTGGAGCAGCCAGGACTCGAACCGGCGCCCATATGGGATGCCAGTGCCCTAGGCAGAGGCTTTAGCCGACACATAGCGCCAGCCCCTGCTACTATTATCAACATCCTCATCATCCCAAATAAGAAGATCAAAACAGCACAGCCCTAATAGTTCACCTTAGCAATGCTATAATGGTGAATTCTCTACCTAGAAGGTGAAAGAAGAAGTCCTTTAAACCTCATTTCCACACTCTCCTATCATACCCCAAACATAGCCCCACAGGAAAAAAAAAAATTTCACCTCACTCTACATACTCAACATTCTAGGAAAAAACAGAAATCTATTGTGCATGGCACCAACCAGTGTTCCTTGTCTCCAGCCTACTTGCTATAGTGTGGATATGATATGCATTTTCCCCTCAAGAGTTCATGTGTTGAAATGTAGTCCTCATTTTGAGAGCATTAAAAGAGTGGAAATTTAATCCAACTATCATATTTAGAGGTGGGACCTTTGAAAAAGTGATGAGGATTATTTAAAGTCATCAGCATGATGCCTCCATGCTACTAAGAAGAAGGAGAGAGACCAAGGGATACAGGCACACACACGCATACGCACACATATGCTTATGCTCCCTGCCTTACCGTACGATGCCCTGCACTTCCCTAGGACTCAGAAGACCATCACCAGATGAGGCCCCTTGCCCTTCAACCAGAACTATGAACCAAAATAAACCTCTTTTCCTTGTCAGTACCCAGCCTCAGCTGCTTCATTATAGTAATGAAAAACAGGCTCACAGACCACTCTTCTGCAAGAATCAGCTATATTCTAATCTAGAACAGCTACCAATATTTCACTCCCCCATCTTGAGCTTATTTTATGCTTATTTGCAATGTTTGTGGGTCACAGTAAGAAAAAGATTTAAAAAAAAAAAAACCTCATACCAAACGCCCTATGATTTAGAACAACCACATTTTTATCTTATTTAATCAAGCCCCATGTGTGTAGAATGCCTCTTTGTGTTGGTGGTCTACAGACTTATGGAGCATCAACCACCTTGTGTCATCACTGTTAGCTTCCTTCTCTAATAGTCATTGAAAATTTACTGTGTCTCTGGCATTGTTCAGTTCTCTAATCATTTCTGTTATGGCCGTGTTTGCTGCTACAGATGAAATGTACAAATAAGATGCTGATGAAGACAGCAAAAGTACCGCTATTGCTGTGTGCCCCAAGGAAAAACATGACTCTGCCAGAAGTCATGAAGTTGCCGTATTATCTCAAGTCTTTGGCTGTTTGCTTCTCAAAGGACTTGTGGGTAGGTAGCTTCAGTAAAGTTCATCATTTATCGGCCTGCAAATCAGCTGAGCATGACTTGGTTATCTGATCCTCTATTTCAGAGGACAGATGGGTTACGTTCTCAGAAGGGCATGACAATTCATCAGGAAGAGGAGTGAGCGATGGTTCCCAGAAAAATGCTTTACTGTCATCTTGAGGTTTCCCTATCACTGGTACCAAATGTTAGCCCCGGTGGTCTTGAATAGCAAGAAGAACCTTAGCCCATTTGTGAGAAAGAAATAGGCTCCTCATAATTTTTGAAAGTGTGTTGCCACAGCCCAGATGGTTTTAACAATTAAATACCTCAATTGGAAATGTTTGGATCAAGTCCAGATTATTCAGTAGACAATAGCAGACCAATGCCCATTTTCCTTGCAGAGTAGACCCTGTCATTTCAAATATTTTCTCTGTATTTTTCAGTGGTTTATTGTGTAAGAATTTACCCTGCTTCCCAAACTGGTTAGTAAATGTGGGACCAGTCTGTCAATCAAATATTCATTTAATTTTTTCCTAGAACCACAAAATTATTCCATGAAGAGCTAATGATGAACTTAGTGGCCCAAATAATCTCTTGATCTGGTTGTAAAATTAGGCACATTAATAAATATACAGAGAGATCGCTGGACACACAATTCAATCACATTTTTTCCCAGGAGATCAATCTTAGACAAAAATATACAGTAGAGTTTACCTCTGACACAGCCCCACTCCTAAATTTCTGGCATTATGATTCCATTCTCGCCCCTCTCCTCAGAGCTGCTACTTCCTTAAGAGTGATTTCATGCTTGCAGATTCCCCTCAGCACAAATCAGATAATACTGGAAGATATTACTCTCTCTTCCAGGACAATCTGATACTTTATTTAAAAAAAAAATAGTAATGCTTGACACAAGCAATACAAATCTAATAGCAGCATCTCACATGTTTGTAACAAGACAGTGGAGATACATTTTCTTAATAGGACTCTCTTTTAAGGGATTTCCCACCTCACGCCAATAGCCTCTGACTTTCTCTACCTATGTGCAGAACACCACTGAGTCCAAAGAGACATAGTAACTACTGAAAGTAAAGCTTTCTGGAATGGTCAAGGAATTAACAAGCAACTCAAATGCAATTCATCATCTCCTACCAAAAAAAAAAAAAAATACAAGCAGTTTATGTGCACCAATCTCTTCTCTCTCTCTCTCTCTCTTTTTTTATTTTATTTTTTTTTATTTTTTGACAGGCAGAGTGGACAGTGAGAGAGAGAGACAGAGAGAAAGGTCTTCCTTTACTGTTGGTTCACCCTCCAATGGCCACCGCGGCCAGCACGCTGCGGCCGGCACACCACGCTGATCCGATGGCAGGAGCCAGGAGCCAGGTGCTTTTCCTGGTCTCCCATGGGGTGCAGGGCCCAAGCACCTGGGCCATCCTCCACTGCACTCCCTGGCCACAGCAGAGGGCTGGCCTGGAAGAGGGGCAACCGGGACAGAATCCGGCACCCCGACAGGGACTAGAACCCGGTGTGCCGGCGCCGCTAGGCGGAGGATTAGCCTAGTGAGCCGCGGTGCCGGCCTCTCTCTCTCACTCTCTCTCTCCTTGTCTCTCCCTGTCTCCCTCTCTCTCTCTCTCTCACACACACACACACACACACAGAGGTTTTATGAAACAACAATTGGAATAGAGAATACTGATGTGTAAAGGCAGCAAACGGCGCATGATATCTTACTTGTTCAGGAACAGCCTCGTTACTTATTTCATTATGAAGAACAGTGCCTAGAGAACGGCTAGCATACAGTAGTCATCAATCAATGTTTGTTCACTGACTGAAAAGTGAGTAGTATCCCCAGCACTTGGAAGCAGTCTCAAGATGTATTCACTGCTCTGGGTGCCCAGTGGGACCCCAGTCTAAGGAAATTCTCATTCATGAGGTTTAGGTGATGGGAGGTCCGGGGTGGTAGCAATGATTTCTCCTATATGTAGTTTCAGAAATCATGTCCACCTTTGCTTCTGCGACTGAAGAAAAAAAAAGGCTTAAAAAAGGACCACCCTCACCAAGAAAAATGAAAACTCACATCCATGCAAAAACTTGCACACAAATGGTTATAGCGACTTGGTGTTCACCAAAAACTGTAACCCCATTGTCCTCATATTCAGACAAAATGAACTGAGTGTAGTACTCACATATGATGGGTGAATGCTTAGCAATAAAACATATGCTAAGACGTGCAATCACATGGGTGAACTCAACAGCATTTTGCTAAGAGAAAGCAGCCAAACATGAAAGACGGCCCAATATATGATGACGTTTATGTGACATTCTTGCTCTGGCAAAACTACAGGACAGACGTACCTGTGATTGTGGGCAGAATGAGGGATGATGCAAAGTGGCAGGGGGAAATCGGTGGGCACGATGCACTTGTTCTCAGCTGTGTGGTGCTTCCTCATTTGTATACATCGACGAAAATTCAAGCACCCAAAGGAGTGAATTATAATTTTACCTTCATTTTTTAAATGAAAGGAAGAGGGTAACACTCTCTGAAGCTCAGGAAGGGACATAGATAATCTTACAGGTATTTGGGGTTTGGTCCTGTTAAAATCTATCTTCTGTATGCTTAGGGCCATGGGTGGAGGGGTTAAATTCGGCACCAGCAAAGGCAGCATCTTCTATGAGAAAAGACTTCTGTTTGGAGGCAGGATGAAAGAGTTGTGAATGTAATATTCTAAGGACTTCTGGGTCTCCTAACATGCTAATCCACCGCGATTATACCTTTTACCTGGCAAGAGTGTTGTAAGGATAAATTAGCCAATGTTTGCAAAGAACTTGGAAGACAAAAGCCCCACACGAGTCTTTGAGCACTGCAGTTCGCATTAAGACTGGACTTAAGGTGAAAGCATCTCAAAGCTGGAAGCTGGGCAGGTTTTTCTCCGTGTCGTTGATTTCTCAAGTGGCTCCCACACAGCTTTGTGTTTAGGGCTGAAGTGTGAGCAGCTTTAAGGACAAAAGGCAACGAACAAATGCTCTGAAAAAACAATGGCCAAGTGGCACCTTGGCCGACAGGATGTTCCAAATCCAAGAACCAGTGTGGGAAAACCAGCTGCTTGTCGACACATCTCACCTTATAGAGTAGATGTATTTCGCAAAGTGCGGTGCATACAAAGACGTAGGCTAAAGTTTATTTGGAGAAATAAAAGCATCGCTTTATAAGCAACCACGTGTGAATGAGCACGCTGTTCTGAATTTATAAATTAGATTTTCTTACAGAGGACTGGCAAGGGCAACAGCTACAGATCGATGCACCCAAACTTCAGCATTGACCTCTGTTCCTTTGGTAATAAAAAGCAAGCATGGCTATATGCAGTCTACACACCCTCCTACCAGGCCTGTTGTTACCTCTCTCTCTCTCTCTCTCTCTCTCTCTCTCTCTTTCCCTCCCTCCCTCTCTCTGGTGAAAAGCCAAGGAGTTGGAGGGAAAAGAAGGTGAACAAGAGAGTTTTGGCAAGGTATCCAGTGGGATGTCCTGGCCTTGAATCACTCGGAGACTTTGCATAGGAGAGTACTAGAAGTGCTGCAAGTTAAACTACACAACCATCCATTTGATGAGGAAAGTTCAGCACAAGAAATGTCCTCACTTTTTTTGTCCCCCACATAATGAACAAAATCATTGAAAGCCTGAAAGCGTGCACACTTCTGATGGGTAATACCACATGATGGAAATTTTTACTGGGTCAAACATTATGCGACCTGAATATTGGTCCCAATTCTGCTGTAAACTAGCTGTGGAGGACATTGAGCAAGGCACATGGTCCCGCTGGAACTCAGTTTCTTCATCTTTGAAACTGGAGTGTTGCATGAGATAATGTCTAAGATCTGTTCCAGTTCTAATGTCCACATTCTATTGTTCTCCTATAAGGCTTCAACAGCTGAATTAAAGCCAAGATTTTCCTTCCCGTTCCCTAATTTGTAGAGCACGCTCACAGGAAGCAATACCATTGGTGAGATTGCATTTATTTATTCCTTCATTCTTATATAGAGTGTGAAACTCAGATTGAACCTAAACCACACCCATCATTTAATAACATGCCTTGGTGGACTTAGAAAAATAATAAAATAGCTAGAAAGAAAAAGGCAGTTTGCATGATGACTGGGGAGACTCCTGCTGGTCAATGCTTCGTTGGAGAGAACAGAACCATCAGGCAAATACACACTATCCAATTACAAAGCGTTAATTTTAGAGGGACAAGTGATTCTGACAGTGTTTTCTGCTTGATACTTGGATTCACCTGCCAACACTCCTGTAAGACTCGTAGTCAATCTACGAAACAGGACACCTCCCGTAGAAAGAAGCCTTCCATAGCATTGACATTTAAGCCCTTTGAGAACACAAGTAGATCTGCAAGGGTAAATAAATAGCAACATTTCTGGGCTGCACTGATTGCCAGGAAGCCATATTTCCATAACAACATATATGGCAGAACCCAGCCACAGTACATGGCAGGAGTGCCAGGGACTTAACAAGCAAACTGTGTCCAGTCTGGAGACAGACTGAGACTAAACTAAAGTTGGAGACTCCCCTGACTCCAAGGGAAGGGCTGTAGATGAGTTATGCTATCAGCACAAGTGAAATGCCTAATTGGAGAAAAGGAAGAGAAGATGGCGGGTCATTGGGATAAAAAGGAGGGGAAGGGGGCAGCTCAACAAAACTCGGATTGTTGAAATGATTTTTTGTTCACAGTATTGTCATAATGCATTTTATTTACCCAGAGGAAATAATAGAGAAGGAACATCAATTATCAATCAAAAAATCCACCAATTATCAATCCATCGATTGTCCTCCATCAATTATCAATCAAATCCAAACAAACACTGTGTGAGTGTTTAAGAGACTTTTACAACTGTTCTCTCCCTCTCCCTCTCCCCCTCTATCTCCCCCCTTCCTCTCTGCCTCCTCTCCTCTCTTCTCCTCCCTTCCACCCCCATCATTCATCCCTCTCCATAGTCTCTATCCTTTTTCTGTAATATCACCTGAAAACATGAAATATGACTTCCCAAAGACTTTGTGGCATCTGAGTGGTCCAGGCTGTATCTGCCGCCCTTGCATTAGAGGTCATCTAGTTGCAGGAGATCTTCTGCCTGTCCTAGCACCTGGTGTCAAAGTGGAGCTCTAATTCTGTCAGCACTGCAGGCCTCCTCCACCAACCAGGTGTTACCAATCCTTCTCATTCATCCCTTCTGTACATTTGTATTAAACTTTTATTTTGAACAAATATTTTCAGTCCAACTATTGGTGAAAGGAATGCAAGACACAATGGGGTTTCCCTTGGATTTTGATCATGTTCCGTTCTATTGGTTTAGCTGTCTTTTATTGAGGCATTGGTATGTGCCAGGAATGGAGCTAGGTACTTGATATGCATTCATTCACCCAATCTGTACAACAAATCTTCAAAGCCTAGGGACTAAACACCCTGAATAGATAAGGAGACAGGCCCAGAAAGACTAAACGGAACCATAGTGAAAAGAAGACATGCATCGTTTGAACTCCAAGGCCTAGTATTTTTCTAGAAAAAATAGATGACAGCTTAGCTACTCTGACTGAAGCAGAGTATGGGCGGTCCAGAGACTGCACAGAATACCATCCCTCACAGCGTGGAGAACTCTGTAGAAGTTCTGCATTGGGAAACTATTGGACTAGAGCAGGTGTTTAGCCTAGCAGGTAAGAAGTCAGTCAAGATGCCTGCAGCCCACATCAGAGTGCCTGGGTCTGAGTCCCAGTGTTGGTTCCTGATTCTAGCTTCCTGTCCATGCTGATCCTGGGAGGCGGAAAGTGATGGCTCACGTTGGGTGCTTGCCACTCATGAGAGAGACTTGGCTTGGATTCCTGGCTCCCAGCTTCAGTCTACACAGCACTGGTTGTTAAATGAGCAGATAGGAGTTTCTCTCTCTCTCTCTCTCTCTCTCTCTCTCTCTCTCTTTCTCTCTCTCCCTCTCATAAATAAACATTTTTTTAAAAAAAGAAAACTACTGCATTACCATACTCCTTTAACACCCACATAAATCAAGTCTCCTTAAATACAAAGCAGCATCTTATTAAGTAACCTAATTTCCACAGTACGGAAATGCTCTATACCATGAACACGGAGTGTGCTCAGCAAAGACATTGCTCACGCTCCATGACTTTAGGACAGAACGGCTGTCATTCTTCGCGGAGTTTCCATGGCCATCAGGTTTGATCACTGCTGCCCACAGGGGTGAGCAAGTTCTCTGTAATGTAAGACTTCAGGACGTACTTCCTAGAAATAGGCTTGACAGAGCCAGAGATTTCCAGGAGGCCATTCTCTATGGGAATTTTTGTGACATCTCTGACAAACAGAATTCAGGAATAAAAAAGGCGTGTCGGGTTAGTGGAGCACATGACTACTGTCAGAGAAAGGCAGGACGGCATCAGAAAAGTAGCTATCAGGGTAGGAGGCGTAGGAGGGGTTTTACTCTAGAGGCTTCTGATGTTGGGGAAAGTGGTGCGAATCAAACACAGGGTGAGTAAGGCAGGCATTGGGCTTCAGGCAGCACAATCTACTGCCAGGTGCTGCAAGAGGACTCTCAATGCACTCATTTTTACTACTCTTAGGTAACAAGTTGTTACTTTTTTAGTTTTTCCTCATCTTAAGTCATTGGCTGTAATCTAGGTACTGTTGGAGGCTTAATGTTAGAATATAATCATCTAGGGCCAGCGCCGTGGCTCACTTGGCTAGTCCTCTGCCTGCGGCACTGGCACCCCGAGTTCTAGTATCGGTTGAGATGCCGGATTCTGTCCCGGTTGCTCCTCTTCCAGTCCAGCTCTCTGCTGTGGCCCGGGAAGGCAGTGGAGGATGGCCCAAGTGCTTACTTAGGTCCCTGCACCCGCATGGGAGACCAGGAGAAGCACCCGGCTCCTGGATTCGGCGGCACAGCACCGGCAGTAGGGGCCATTAGGGGAGTGAACCAACGGAAGGAAGACCTTTCTCTCTGTGTCTCTCCCACTGGCTATAACTCTCTCTCTCTGTCTCTCTCTCTCTCACTGTCTAACACTGCCTGTCAGAAAAAAAAAAAAAAAAAAGAAAGAAAGAATATAATGATCTGGGGGGCCGGTGCTGTGGCACAGCGGGTTATAACCCTGGTCTGGCATCCCATATGGGCACGAGTTCGAGTACCGGCTGCTACACTTCCAATCCAGCTCTCTGCTGTGGCCTGGGAAAGCAGTGGAAGATGGATCAAGTCCTTGGGCCCCTGCACCCAAGTGGGTGACCTGGAAGAAGCTCCTGGCTCCTGCCCTCTCTGTAACTCTGCCTTTCAAATCAATCAATCAATCCTTTTTTTTAAAAAAAAAAAAAGGGGGGGGAATATAATCATCTGGGATAGGGGTTGTAAACTACAGCCAATTGGCCAAATCCAAGCCACTTCATGTCATTTTAAACTAAGTTGTGGGGCCGGTGCTGTGGCGAAGTGAGTTAATCCCTGGTCTATGGTGCTGGCATCTCATATGGGCGCCAATTCAAGACCCGGCTGTTCCACTTCCGATCCAGCTCTCTGCTGTGGCCTGGAAAAGCAGTGGAAAATGGCCCAAGTGCTTGGGCCCCTGCACCCACGTGGGAGACCCAGAAGAAGCTGCAGGCTCCTGGCTTCGGATCAACATAGCTCTGGCCATTGCAGCCAGTTGGGGAGTGAACCAGTGGGTGGAGGACCTCTCTCTCTCTCTCTCTCTCTCTCTCTGCCTCTCCTCTCTCTGTGCAACTCTTACTTTCAAATAAATAAATAATTCTTAAAAAATAAACTAAGTTGTCTTGAATAAAAGAAGGGGGAGTGGGGGAACAAATTAAGTTGTACTAAAATGTAGTCATGTCCAATCGTTTGCATATTGACTATAATTACTGCATGCTACGGTGGCAAAGTTGTGACAGAGACGGTAAGGCCTGCAGAGTCTAAAACGTCGATAGTTGGTCCTTGAAAGAATGTTTGCCTACTGCTCATCCAGGGCATCTCATTCCTATCTGTGTTTCACCAAAACTTAAGTTTTAAAAAATTGTTCTATCACTATGAGAGCCCTTGTCCTGACTGTTGATGTACAACTTAATACTTTATCCCTTTTAGTATTTTTTTGTTCTACTTAATATTATTGGTTGAATTCTGTAATTAATACGCAGTTTTTCTTAGGTGTTTAAATTTAACTGAAAAGTGATCCCTGTTAAATATAAGAATGGGAATAAGAGAGGGAAGAGATGTACAATTTGGGACATGCTCAAGCTGACTTGCCCCAAATGGTAGAGTTAGAAACATACCAGGGGATTCCAATTCAATCCCATCAAGGTGGCATGTACCAATGCCATCTCACTAGTCCAAGTGATCAATTTCATTTCACAATTGATCATAATGATAGGACTAAGAGTCAAAGGGATCACACAAACAAGACTAGTGTCTGCAAATACTAACTGATAGAATTAAAAAGGGAGAGAATGATTCAACATGGGAAGCAGGATACACAGCAGACCCATAGAATGGCAGATGTCCTAAACAGCACTCTGGCCTCAGAATCAGCCCTTTAGGCATTCGGATCTGGCTGAAGAGCCCATGAGAGTATTTCAGGCATGGAAAGCCAAGACACTCTGGCAAAAATAAATATATAAAGAGGACTTAAATGAAAGATCTCTGCGCGCGAGATCCCAGAGGAAAGAACAGGCCATCAAAGAAGGAGGTACCTTTCTCTGAAGGGAGGAGAGAACTTCCACTTTGACTATGACCTTGTCTAAGTAAGATCAGAGTCAGCGAACACAAAAGCCTTCCATAGCCTTGGCAACTCATGACAAGAGCCTAGGGAGATTACTGACGCCATAAATAAGAGTGTCAATTTGTTAAGTCAGCAACAGGATTCACTGTGCACTTACTCCTCATGTAGGATCTCTGTCCTTAATGTGCTGTTCAGTGTGAATTAATGGTATAACTAGTACTCAAACAGTATTTTACACTTTATGTTCTGTGTGGGTGCAAACTGATGAAATATTTACTTAATATAAACTAAATCGATCTTCTGTATATAAAGATAATTGAAAATGAATCTTGATGCAAATGCAATGGGAGAGGGGTCGGGAGATGGGAGGGTTGCGGGTGGAAGGGAAGTTATGGGTGGGGAGCCATTGTAATCCATAAGCTATACTTTGGAAATTTATATTTATTAAATAAAAGTTTAAAAAGTCATTAAAATCTGTTAGAAATTGAAAAAATTGATAAAATATAAAAATATGTCATGATAATAAAAATCAACAAAAAAATTGTTCTATCAGCATTTTCAACCTTATTTCTCTTTCTTATCTCCAAACTCTCATGTATATTTATTTGTCATATTTCCCAGCAGACCCAATTCCCAAGCACTATAGAAATAACACCAGCTCTTAGATCCCATGCATTCAGCCTGAATGATTGAGCCCCTTTATATTTCTTCTTCTGTCTTTTTGTCTTTCTGTTTTTGTGATATTGTTCATTCTCTTCTAAGGCTTCTCAGTTCAAAGGAATAGTCTAAAGGAGCCCAGCGATTCCCATGACTCCTGAGACTCCGCGGTGCTATCCGTGAACTTGTGATCCACCCTGCAGAGCCCATCTTCCTGCATGTTGGGAGAGCCTGATGGGATAAGGTCAGCACGAGGCTGGCACCACATTACAAAGCTCCTATTTCAATGTGTCCAATATGGCAAGGCTTTAACAGAATAAATAAAAGTCGAATCTCAATGAAGTGCTTTCAATGACATCCCTTGGAAGCCTCTTTGTGTAGAAAGAAAAAAAAATAATAAAAAAGGCCAGGATAAGACTGTTCCTTTAAGGTAGTACCTGCAATGTACACTTTTCTTTTTTCCAATATTCACAATTAAGCCCCCTCCAAATAGCTTGCACACTGAAGTTTATAACCTCAGCCTACACAAGTCCAGTGCAAAAAGATCTACAGCCTGCAGGCAGAGCAAGGAAGCTCTTTAAAGATGAATCATTTTCATAAATGAGTGCAGAGGGAGGTTAGGCCAGGGGACAGGGAAGGTTACGTGTGTGCCTGAGATAAGGCCTCATCCATCCTCCTCTTACTGTCAGGTCTTGATGGGTGAACATTGCCTTGAGCGCCCATAAAACATGTTGTTTGCAGAAAACTTGCAGGTGGTTCATAAAAAAGTCCAAACTGTTACTGTGAAATTTATCTCCCACTGTGGGATCTGTTTATAATAGAAACGAAGGATCTCAAATAGAAATTAAGTAT